CACTAGGTTAATCCTCTGCCTGCGGTGCCGGCACCCCGGGTTCTAGTCCTGGTTGGGGCGCCGGATTCTGTCCCGGTTGCTGCTCTTCCAGTCCAGCTCTCTGCTGTGGCCCGAGAAGGCAGTAGAGGATGGCCCAAGTCCTTGGTCCCTGCACCTGCATGGGAGACCAGGAGGAAGTACCTGGCTCCTGGCTTTGGACTGGCGCAGTGCACTGGCCATGGCGGCCATTTGGGGAGTGAACCAACGGAAGGAAGACCTTTATCTCAGTTTCTCTCTCTCACTGTCTAACTCTGCCTGTCCAAAAAAAAAAAAAAAAAAAAAAGAAGAAGAAGAAAAAAAGAAAAGAAAAAAAAGGGGGGGCTTAATTAGAGGCACCTTATATGTAGTATCCTTTTTACCCTTAACAAGCTTTTCCTAGTTACTAAGTTGGTGATACACAGCAGCAGTGTTGTTTCAATGTAGCAGTGAGTCTGAGTGATCCGCACACAGTGGAAACATCCTGTGCAGAGACGGGAAGTTATGAGGCATGAGGCTCTCCTGGATTTCATGTCTTTATTCAGTGTTTTGTTTGGACTTATATGCTACTTTCTCTAGAATTTTAAAGGTATCACTCTTTGGAGGACCAGCTCCTATGTAAATTCTCCAGAGCTCCGTGCTCACTGAACTGTGAGTCATAAACGTCTGCTCTCTAGTCTTCACCCGTGCTTGCTTCCTGGCTCTGAGGCCGGGTCACACTGAGCTCCTCAGTCCAGAAGGGACCCGAGCTGCACCATCATAGTTGCTGACTCTCAAGTGTCAGCAGTTGTTACTGTCTTGTGAATCTACTGGTAAATATGCGTATTCTCTAAGAAGGAAATTATACCATGAATATAAACATTTTTCTTAGACAGAAAAATGTCTTCTTTCTTTTTACAAAATAAGCCACACTAAGACCTAAAATTTCAAGCTCTTTTACTAAACATATTTATACATATTCATATGGAAAGTTGTTGAATACAGCTTTTGTAAATACTGAGACCATGCAGCATATGAGAACAGCTAACAACGTTAAACCTGATTTTTTTTTGACATTGGGAATGTTTGTTTCATAGATTGAGAGCATTTATGATATGAAACCCTAGAAGAGCACTTTTATTTGCATAATGCTTTAGTAGATTATGCCTGTGTCCATTTTCTGTTGCTTATAACAGATGACCTGACAGTAAGTGATGTATAAAGAACAGAGGTTTATTATTTAACAATAATAATGTTCTGTTATTATTTAATAACAATAGTGTCCTGGAGGCTGTGAAGGCCACCAGCCTGGCACCAGGTTATGCTTAGGGTCTGGCAAGAGCCCTCTTGCTGCATCCTGGCAACATGGCAGAGGCTGTTGCATGGCGAGATGGAGCCAAACTGACTTTTATAACAGATCCACTCGAGATAACCCATTAAACCATGAGTGGGCTCATTCCTCATGACCCCGTCCCTTCCTAGGGTCCCACCTCTTACTGCCTCTCAGCGGGATTAAATTTCAGCGCGAGCTTCGGTGTGGATGTTGGAACCTTTGCCGTATCTCTGTACCACAGAACGTTGCCTCTTTCAAGTGTTGAATACTCTGCACTCCCAGAGTTGACTGTGTCCTGAGTGAGCTTCCTGCAGCTGTCACACACACAGGAAGCAAGTGGATTTGGAGAGCAGGAGTATGCAGCTCTTCGGGGAATGGGAAGACACAATCAGGAAACTCACTGGTGGGGACATGCGGGGGAGGCTGAGCGTCCTGGAGCTGAGTGGCCAGAGCATCAGGGTGCATAGGGCAGTGAGGGTGGGCGATCTGCAGATGGCTTTGGGGGTTCGGGAGGACGTGGTGCTGCCCCTGAGACTGCAGGCCTCGGTGATTGGGGAGTCCTTGTCTTAGGCCACGGGACTCAAAGGGATGTTTCTGTTGAAATGCGGGGGTGACAGTGCTCCTCGCACACCCGTCTTCCTCATCCTGTTTCTCAGCCTGGCTTCCACTCACTCAGTGCTGCAGGAGCCCCCAGCAGTGGGTGGCTCCCCACCTCCAGCCTCTCTTCTCGTGCCCACGTTTCTGATTGGCTGTCCCCTGGGTTCAGACACCGCATTAGGCAGGCACTGGCGGTAGGATTCCTGCTGGGCCTTTGCTGGCCCGCGTGCCTTTGGTCAGACAAATCGCCCTTGGAGTTGCCTGGGTGCTGCAAGCCTCACGAGTCCCATGCATGTCAATCCCGTGATAGCTCCAGGTGGATCCTTCTCTGAAAACCTTTGTTTTTGTTTTGTTTTGTTTTGTTTTTTTTCCTTCTAGAATTCACATCTCCCTCTCCAAAAGGGAAATTTTTAAGAAATCTGCACTTGACTCTCTCTCTCCCATTGTGGTTACATCACTACTTCTCTGTGTCTCCTTTGTTGACTGTCGGTGCTCCGGGGCCATGGCTCCGGGCTCAGTAACTATCAAAGAGGGCAGAGGCTACCAGCACACTGTCAGTAACTCCACCTCTCTCCCTCTCCGACCCTGTGCTCCGAACGTTCTCCTGCTCAGTACTGATGGTGATGGAGGTAGTGTCTGAGGCTGCCCCTTCCTTGAGTGGGCTCCAGCAGCCCCACTCCAGGCCAGCTCCCCCTCACATGACCTCCTTCTTGAGACTTACGCCCCCTTTTCCATTCGCCACTTCTAACTCTGTCTCAGCTCACAAGTCAGATAACCCAGGAGGGTTCCTCTTTTCTGTTCCATCCTGCTCCTGGAGGCACCAGCAAGCAGGTGGATCCCTGGAAGCAGTAGGAGAAACAGCAGGGATCTGGCAGAAGAGCCTTGCTTCCTGGAGTCATTGTAGGCTGTCCTTGTTTCCAGGAGCCCCCATGTGTGGGGAGCAATCCGGACTGGACTGAGTTACTGGAATTAAGACTTATTCTATGCATCTGCTCTCCCACAATATGGCGCTGGGAGAGAAGTAAACAGCTTCCGCACAGCTGCCTCCAGTTCAACTAATAAACTGTAGGACTTGCTCCTGATTGGAGGAGAGCGGCGTGCTCGGCGTGTGGGCAGCCGAGTTAGGATTGGCGGAGGAGGACTATAAAGGAGGAGAGAGACGGCATGCACTGGGAACATCTATGGGGAACATCTAAGGAAGCCTGTGCAGCCCCCAGAAAGCCAGCCGGCGGTGTGCCGCTCCCCTGCGGAAGTGGGGAATGTGGCCAGGGGGAACTGCCCTTCCACGGAGGTGGAAGGGATAGTAGCCAACCCGGGAAGAACCAGCAGCAAACCCGGGGAGGGCCGAGCAGACGAAAGAACAGCGCAGGGTCCTGTGTTGCTCCTCCACGAAGAGGGGGAGCGACACCATGTCACCTTCAGAGCTGCCACCAGCCACAGTCCCTACCTCTGCTGTAGAGACCAGAGCCTTAGAGCCCAGGGACTGTCACTGCACTGGGGGCCTGGGTTTCTGGCATCCCAGATCAGAACCCTGAACACATTTGGCTGTGGAGACGTATTACACATAGTGGTTAAGGTCTCCAGTGTTATTAATACTTTATCTCAGCCACTTAAAAGAAGGTATACAAGGCTTTTAGTGGGTTGGCCCATGAGTCTGTTCTGTAATTATAAAATTGCCTCAGTAGGCAAAACCGTGTTCAGAGTTCCAAACCAACCCACTGAAAAACCATAGGAGCACAGCTGAGTTTGAGTACAAGTGCCTTTAATTTAGATGCCTTTATAATCATTTGTTCGTTTCTTGTCATTTGCACATTTGTCTCAATACCGCTCTGCTTTGTGTCGTCTTAGGCAATTACGAGGTTCCTACCACAACCTTAAGTTCCATGACGGAGACGTGTGACAAGAACAACTGCTCAGCCACGATACCAGCTTCCAGTACAGGTGTGTAGAAGGCACTTCCAGACAATATGAGCTTCATAGTTCTGATGTTTCCTTTGTTATATTGTTACCTCCCAGAGAGTTGTGCTAGACATTTCACGGTGGACAGAAGGTGAAAGAACCAGGAGGATCCAAACTAGAAAAGGAGTCTCATATCTGTCCTTTTGTTTCCCTATCTTGGTCTGATATTGTTGCTGTTCATGGGAATCTACTGAATTTATCCTGTGGTGTGTGCTTCTAAAAATTCTATTATTACCTTGGAAACCACACTAAGGGAGTCCCTTTTAACTGTATAACGGTTAACATAAGGTCTGGGGAAACATGGGATTGCAACTCAGAAGACTTGATTATAATATTGGGTCTGGCAGATTGTAGGTAGACATGTTGGAAATGTTAAGCAAATTCTCTAGATTAAGTTCAGAGAGACTGGGTGAGGGGTGGAGGGAGGGAGAAGGAGAGAGAGAGAGAAGAAGGAGGGGAGGGAAATTATAAAACTTTCTCTACCTGTGTAGGAGCAAATGGAAGTATGCATATAAAAATAATGTTTTAAACTCTAAATTCTTCCCTTAGGATGTGGCAGGAGCCTGAATTCTGTGAAATGGGTGATGCTTCGTGAACTGTGTTAGAAATGAGTGATGCTTCCTGGAGAGACTTAGGGAATGTATGTCTTTCATTAGTACAAGAGTTGTCATTTCTGGAAAGGAGTAGATTTAGTTGGAGTAAATGTGTCGTGTCTACAGAGGCAGAAGCAAGCTCAGAGAAGATAAGGGAAGGAAGAGGCCCAGTGTAAGGTGGAGCCCCCCAGCTTCCATCTGGGAGCACACGGTTTGCCTGGTCTTTGTGTTAGTGCCTTCTCTCCTAAGTTGCCTTTCTCTTTGAGATATTGCCCTGTTGCTTGAGAGAAGATCCACGGTCCCTTCTGCTATGTGTTTCATTCCTGAAGAGCCAAGGGACGATTAACCACTGAACACAAGCCATCCCAGCAGCCACGGGCACTGCGAGCAGCTGCCCCCATCTCCCGTCTCCCTTAGCCCTGCACCCCTGCTCAGTGCTGGTAATGAAAACCAGCTCACTCGACTTGGAGAGCGCACGCTGCAGGTTATGGAATCCTGTTATACACATCCTCCAGTTCAGTTACCTCCAGTTTCTTCAGCCTTCCTCACAGCCGCAGCAGCGACTCTTGGTGCAATACTCCAAGGCAGGCAGCTGAGTGATTATCTTATTATGGGTAGTGGAATTTGGAATCACGTTACAGTCTTGACCCATATTTGGCTGACTCTCGGGTAAAATGCCATTCTTCACTGGTTCGGCTGTCAAGCCTTGAATACACACCCTGTACTCACGTAATTGGGAGTTTGGGCTTTCAAGTATAAAGCCATGCATTTATTTCTATGCTTCTGCCAGCTCATAATTCTAGGACCTTACAGTTTGCCCAGAGACTAGATTAGGAGTTTTCTGACCAGATGGTCTCTAGGTTTCTGGTCACTTGCAGTTCCCCCATGCCATGAGCCTCAGGTTCTGTCAAGTAATTTGCTTTTTCTCTCTCATGTCCCCCACAGGCTTGATAAGCTCCAGAATAGGGGTTGACAAAGTACGTCCCGTAGGGAAATCCATCTTACTCCCTGTTTATATATCCACTGACCTAGGCATGATGACAGCGTTTAAAAACAATTTAAGAAAAAGATGCAGTGGAAGCTGTATGTGGCCCATAGAGCTTAAGATGTTTGCCTTTGGGTTTTACAGGAAGAAATTTGCCAAAGTCTGCTCTCAAAGGTTTCTGTTAAAGGGGCTAGAAAGGTTGTATAGGATGGCGGCCGCAATGCCAGGGATCGAAACCACCACAGTCGTGGTCACATTTTGCATGATTCTTCAGCCACATAGAAATGTGTCTCAAACAAGCTAATCATTCAGCCCATGTTTCTCTCTTTTTTTTTTTTCCAAGAAATATCATGAGACTGTTTATCAAAGCCCCTCTGCCAAAACCCAGTCACCCGCTATCTGCCACATTCCCAGTTAGTCAATCTCACTGCACATCACCTTCTCTTGTTCTCTCCTTCTTCCCACACTCTTCCACTGTGGTCCACTTCAGTATCTTCTCTCGGTATCAAATCATTTGTCACATCCTTGAATTCAGGTCTACAGGTGCTCTTCTGTCCTACCATAATCCATGGTTTTTCAAAGTCACAGAAACAAACTTGGAAAATTTGGGTATAGTTTAAGGAGCCAGGCAACATTAAATAGTTTTGGGGTCTTTTTGGTCATCTGGTATTTCAACTTAGTGTCCCTCATACTTGTCATTATCTTTTCAGCTCTACTTTCTTTCTTCTTAAAAGAATATGGGAAATAATACATTAAAAGTTTACTTTCTTGTTAACACAAATATTTTAACAGCTTGGTCTCAAGTGTAGTGACCCTGTGCCTGCATTGGTCTTCAATGTCTAAATGTTACTTAAAAATGATATCCTTCATTTTAAAGCAAATAACTTTAACTGTAATTGGCTTTAAAAAACTTTAAATTTTGTTTAGTTGAAAGGCAGGGAGAGAAAAAGGCAAAGATCCATAGAAAGAGCTCATATCCACTGAGCTGACTCCACAAATGCTTGCAATGGCGGGGTGTGGGCTGGAGTGGAAGCAGGGAGCCAGTAACTCCATCGGGGTCTCCCGCTGCGTGTCAGGAACTTAGCTGCTTGCTCCATCACCTGCTCTCTCCCGGGGTGTCCGTGGGCAGGAAGATGGACTGAGGAGCAGAGCTGGCACTTCAGCCGATGCTGCTGTGTATGTCGGGGCCTTTCATAATGGCAGCCTGCTATCAGGAACACACTCTGGCTGTACATCTGCACCCTATGGCTTGCAAATTAAAATTTAGCCCTTGTTTTAGACGAGAAGTCGTTTTTAAATCTAAGTGATACTTCGTGCCCCACAAACACCTTCTTTACCTTTTCTAGCTTTCACTCTGATTTTGCAGTTAAATTTATGTGGCCAGGATGTCAAGATCAGATCCACAGAATTTGCTGTCAGGTGAATTTTATCACTTAGCATTTTCCACTGTTTTGGAAGTCCCCTTGTATTTGTGGTGGACACAAATGTGCTATGGGCCAGCCACCATGCTAGGTGTTAAGGACAAAATGTTGAATAAACAAATATGATCCTAGCCCTCATGGAACTTATAAAATAGTAGAGGAAGGGAAAAAATCACTGTTAAAATTCTGCCTGTCACATTGTCTTTCACTGAGTTTCTTTAGGTAGATTTCTTGAAGCATGCTGTCTACTAAAGGCCATCTCATCTCTTTAGTGTTGCATATTTATGAACTCGAGTTGATTCTACCCCCTCTCCTACTCCCCAGGGACACTTGGCAGTGCTGGAGATGGGGTTGATTGTCACACCTTGGAGAGGGGCACTGCTGGCAACCTGTGGGTAGAGGCCAGGGAGGCCGCTGAACTCCCTGCATGCACAGAGAATCTCCAGGCCCAAACATTAACAATGTTAAGGGTGAGAGACTCCTCTCTGTTTGGATATTAGTTTATAGTGCCAAATACAAACTCATAGAAGGCTTCCCATGGAAGCTTCCACAACCTGGTATTCACTTAGCATATTGTACAAAGAACACAGCTTCCCTTTCTCTGTGGGCAGATGAGCACAGTTCTTCCCCTCCCAAGGTATGCTGCCCCAGGGGCAAGGGCTGTCTTTCTGGGCTCCAGCAGTGATAGGAGTTGAGGGAAGAAATGGGAAGGGTGTTGGGAGGGCAGCAGTGAGAGTAGGGAAGAAGGCATAGATAACAGCTGGCGTGTGAAGGAGTGTCAGAGACGCTGTTGGGAGCCAGCAGTGTGTGGCCATAGCTTCTCACCATGAGAGATTATTCCTAGATCAGAATTAAAGACGCAAGACTATCTGTATTCATGTACCCTGTGCTAGTTGACTTGGTAAGTGATAAGGCTCATCTGATGGAAAATTCTGTGGATTCGATCTCCTAGCCCATGCTGCGTTTACATTTTGGCTGTGTAAATATAATTGCAAAATGTGAGTGAAAGGTAGAACCTGGTGTGTGTCGTGCAGCAAGTGTCACTTAGATGTAAAAATAACTTCTCTATGTCGAAGACCAGGATTAAATTTTAATTTGCAAGCCCTAGTGTGCATTTGTGACAGCCTGGGTGTGTTCCCTTGTGGACAGCAGGCCGCCATTACAAAAGGCCCCGACACACACAGCAGCATAATGACAAGGCTACAAGGCTCGTGGTGACTGGAAGGCAGAGCCACCAGCTTCCAGTAAAGGACCCTGCCGAAGCAGGTGAGGTCATTGTCCCAGCAGCCGAAAATTCACATGGCAGCTGGCAACCAGCTGTGGTTTTAACAAACAGCCAAAAAATACCTCTTTTTATTTCATTTGCTGCAAGACCTCCCTGATTCCTGGACAAAAATAACATATATATATATATATATATATATATATATATATATATATATAAATGGCCAACCTGACTTTTCTAGAAAAGCAGGGCCTTTTGAGACAGTTTATAAAAATATAATCACAATTATTTTGTATGCAAAAATCAGGTTAATGTACAGACAAAAAGGCGGAAGTTCATGGGCGTTTAGCATTTATGAGCAATTCAAATGTATCGTGTTTTGGTGTTTTACTTTAGTGGGGAGGATTGGTGGGTGGGCATCCCCAGTGAGTCAGCCTCGTGCCTTATGCTTTCTGGCTTCCCACGGGGTACCAGTGATTTTAGAATTTTTTTCCTGGTGAAAATAGTTTAAATCTGCATTTCCATAATGAACTGATTATAATTAAAGCACAAGACTAACAAACCAGAAGTTTTCAGCTGCACTTAGAGTTTCAAATGTGTCTGTGTCAATCTCTTACTTTCTCAGAAACTGTGGGGAGCAGCCCGGACTGGACTGAGTTACTGGAATTAAGACTTATTCTATGCATCTGCTCTCCCACAATATGGCGCTGGGAGAGAAGTAAACAGCTTCCACACAGCTGCCTCCAGTTCAGCTAATAAACTGTAGGACTTGCTCCTGATTGGAGGAGAGCAGCGTACTCGGCGTGTGGGCAGCCGAGTTAGGATTGGCGGAGGAGGACTATAAAGGAGGAGAGAGACGGCATGCACCAGGAACATCTAAGGGGAACATCTAGCTGAAGGAACACCTGTGCAGCCCCCAGAGAGCCGGCCGGCGGTGTGCCGCTCCCCTGCGGAAGTGGGGAATGTGGCCAGGGGGAACTGCCCTTCCACGGAGGTGGAAGGGATAGTAGCCAACCCGGGAAGAACCAGCAGCAAACCCGGGGAGGGCCGAGCAGACGAAAGAACGGCGCAGGGTCCTGTGTCGTTCCTCCACGAAGAGGGGGAGCGACATAATGGTGCCGTGACTTGGATAGGAAACCTGACTCGGATAGGAAACCTAGGACGGATAGGAAACCTAGGACGGATAAAAAAACTTAGGAGGGAAGAAACGGGAAGAACTGGGAAAATATCGGAGAGAGAGACTAGCAAACAGCCTAGGGAAAATACCGGAGAGAGAGACTAGCAAACAGCCTAGGGAAAAGCCGGACGAAAAAGGTGCCGGAAGAAGCTATTGAAAGCCTAGGCATAGACTCAGATACGGACTACGGGGGGAAGCTGGGAGAAATCTCTAAGGTCGAAAGCGAAAGTGAAAGCTAGAACAAACAGACTCGGACGCGGACTGTGGGGAGAGGCCAGGAGAAATGAGGGAGGAATATTGTTGGAGGAAAGCTTGGGGAAACATACCGGGTAGAGAAAAATGTTAGGGAAATTGAAGCCGTGGGGGGCAGGCCAAGGCGGAAACGAAAGCCACTTTGGGATTCTCAAGTTAGCCCGGGAATAGGGGGCGAAAAGTTGAAACCAGAAGCTGAAACGTAAGCCAGATTGGGATCCGTCTGATTAGCCCGGGGAGCAAAGGACGGGAAGCCAAACCGTGGGGCGGAGACGTAAGCTGGGTTGAATTCGCCAGGCTAGCCCGGGGAACTTAGATTGAATGCTAGTGGCGGACACGTAAGCTACGCTGTGTGACTCGCGGAAGCCGCCGTGTGCAGAGAGAGCATGGGGCGTGAATAGATAGGGAGGGGGGCTGGCGCGAGGCCGTGGTTCAGACGCGAAAGGGTTAAGTGTGAGACCGCGGAGTGTGCGCGCAAAGCCGAGCCACGCAAAGCCGAGCCGCGCAGATGAGAGAGAAGCGGGC